AACACGAAATTTTCAAAAATTTTACCAGAAAAAGCCAAATCTCCCACAATCCGGCTCATAATATCACTCAAAAGAGAAAATGCGCTGCTTTAAGTGTGAAAAAACGCACTTTAATAGGAAATTTCTGGGAGTTATCAGCATTTTTTCGGATCCTAAAGCGAAGCAAAGAATTCAAAAAGATTGTGCAACGAATGCCGCGGCTGTAAAAACTTTAAAATGTTAATCGAATTAATTATAGCTGTTACAGAAGCAGATAGCAATCCCAAAATCGATAGAAAGCCCGAAGTGTTATTGGGTTACAATTCGACTGTCAGTTCGAGATTTTTGGGGGCCGTTGATGTATTGCGAAAAAAATGCAAATTTAGGCCAGACGCGCCCGCCGCTTCCGAACGGCAACATCAGTTTCTAGTATTTTAAAGTTTTTGTCGGTATTCACCTTAAACGAACCTACTTATCGGACGGAAACTTCGTGCTACCCAACTTCCAATTCGATTCTTTGCGATATGAAAATCATACTTTATCTTCTTTAGAGGTATCGCAAAACGAAACTTTGAAACTTTCGAACTTGTTTAACTATCTCGCACTCCCCGATATAGGCACTTTATTGGGAATGTTAAATTTGTAGCGCCGTTATTGGCCAATATGCACTATACATAATGTATGTATGTACACAAAGAAGGAAGAAAATGCAATTACTCTAGTGATTCACCAAATAAGGCTCATAATTTGGGGGTGTTCTCGATTATATGTATCGATAGGCAACGTGTGGATAGTCCGTAAACGAAATTGTCCCCAATAATTAATCTTCAGAATTGAAGTGGTGATGAAATAATAGAACCACTGAACTGTGAAAATGCAACCGTTTGGACGGAAAAAAATTACTTAACTATTTTGCGGTATTACAAACCATTCAAGCTCTATGCTTACTGAAATGCGTAATCAATTTGTGCCGCACTTTTATAATTACTTTCTTTTAAAACTTTAATCTCGATTTAATGGACACCTTTTTGACAATCATGCTAGTTCGAATTTATAGAGAAAATTCCATTCAAGCCATCAGTTAAACGGGTAAGTGGGTGTACAAAGCATGAAATAGATTTTGTTTCTTTGAAAAGTTGAGGTAAATATCAATTTTTTGACAAAATCCAAGACCACTTCGACTTTACATGCTAAAAGTGAACACGCATTCGACTTTTGATTTGGTGGGGTCGCTATCAGAAATTTCTCCACTCTCCTATAAAGAGGAAGAGATCGTCGAAAAACCGCTCGAAATAAGCCAAAAATGTCAATCATTTCGGATCTGAAGCTTCTAGCATGTTTTTAAATGAATTCCTTGCATCTCCCGCTTTCATGTGGTGAAATTGATGTAAAGTTCGAGGCATTTCGAGAGATTTGATATTTATCAAAAAAAATCAACCACCCCTTATGAAACTTTCGGGCAAAAATCAAAATTTTGCATGCGAGTTTTTTGAGCTCAATAGATTTCCACAGACCTAAGAAGGTCCCCAGGATGAACATTTGAGGTGTTTGAGTCTGCAATAAGGAAAATATCGTGGGTTAAAGATCGTGACTTCTCAAAAACAGCCTCAAAAATGACAACACTTCGCACATCGTTTTGAAATATGCACGATTTTCTCAAACTACCTATAAAATAATGGAAACACGAGTTGTACCTTGAACATAGATTACGTAACTGAACAATGAAAACAATTACCGAGTGATACGCATTTGAAAGTGCCAGTAAATAAATATATATGCAATAATTTTGCTGAATTTAACATAGATTTCTGGAAAACAACAAATTATCGATGAATTATCTTAGCAACTTGATGAATGTTGACAAGCACATGTGTGCTATTAAATATGAAATTTGCAAAAGTTGCTAATATTGGAAAAAATGTCCTCGTTTCGTCTTCCAAATAATCCAAAGCGATGGATAGGTCATGGTGGTCTAATGCGTGGCCACTGCGATCTCCAGAACTGAACCCGTTGGATTTTTTTATGTGGGGACAGGAAAATTTTGTGCTTTAGATACATGGATGTTCTATGAGAGAATGGTACGATTTTGATAAAGTTAGTTTTAGTTTAGTTAGTTAATTTAGTGATGAATGATTTAGATCGGAGAAACAAATCAATAATTTGTCCCTTATCAAAATGGCTTTTAGCTTGAATGAGAATGAGAATTGAAGTTTATCTGCGAGATTATGCTCATAATACATTGAAAGGGGTAATTAGAAAATAAAAATTGCTAGAACAGATAACACGCTCCTTAATCACAGATCAAAAATGGTCTTTTATATCAGTAAAGGGCCAGAATTTAGGTACCTGCAGAAATAGAGTCGCGTATAGCGGAAGTTAAGTAGTTAACAACAAACGTCCAGGTAGCCAGTTGAAAATCTTTTGTTAAGTGGAATGCCATTTACCTGCGGTTAGCCATACAGGTACAAAAAACTTTAGAATTATCCAAATTGGATACGTTTAATTTATTGAAAAGTCTGTCAGTTTACATAACAGTTTTCATGTTGATATTCAGGCTTGTTATGACAGGAAATGGGGGATGTTGAGAAGAGTGCAAGATGATAAATAGAACAGATTTTACAGCATCACTTGACTACGGTACTTTCATAGGCAACTAGGTTAAGTTGACGACAGGTTTTGTTATGTTTTGCTTACCTTCTGGCTATCACAAGAGTCATTGTAGTGCGTCAATTTGAAAACATAAAAAATCTACGGAATTTATACGATCACATGTGCGTATTTATATCCCCCGAACATAACCGCGTAACATCACACATCTCGACAAAACACAAACTGGAGAAATGTATGACAACTTTGACGGTATTCGGTTCAAGTTTCCGCAACAAACAGCTCCATCTCGGCCAGCATCCAGGAACCAAAATACACATCATATGCGAAACGCAGTTTCAGTGAATCCGTCACCGAAGACTCAATCGAACAAATCTAACATGCGGATCGATTTTGCCCCATCTAGTTAAGAAAGAGTGTGTTACACGCCTCTATAAATCAATCTCCACTCGTAAAATGTCTGCAAGACTCGAAAAAAGTAGGGCAATTGAAAGACTCAAAAAAGCACTAAAAATAAAAAACGTTTATTGTTTATAGTCAGGAACATACAAAGCGAATACATGATCACTAAAAATGTTAAACCCTTGAAGATCAAATGCTGTTTTTATTATAAAACAAAACAGAAAAAAACCAAGTAAATCAAAATAGCGCAAGCCGAGCTGTCTGCTATTTACATGCTTCTGGAGCGTTCCCAACTAGTAAATACTCCTTTGGTTGTTTATTGCATATAGAGAAGAGAGCTCTAAGTCTAGAGCGTACAAGAAAAAAACTCGATCCTAAACGCCGCCATTGAATATCTAATTTTCACAGCCTTTGTACCCCTATACTCGAAGTATGTTTTCCTAAAAATAACATTAATTCTGTTAAAAATGTTTGAGAAAGTAACTAGTGACTCTTCATTAGTTACGAAATTAGCTTTGCATGTCAAGGATTTTAAAATATAAAAAGCGATTTACGAGTAAAAAGTGTTGCTGTTGATGGGCAGATTCATATCCACGCGTAAAAAGATTGATACACTATGAAAAAAGGCCATATTTTGACCTTACAATGAAAAAATTACCTATTTTCTAAGGTAGATAGTTGCTATACAATATACGTGACTAATTTTCTTGATACATGTCTTATAATTTGCTAGTTTCTCTTAGACAATGAAAAAAATTTCGTATAATATCGAACACGTTGCATGCTATTATAAATTACATAAACTACACATACATGTTAAAACAATGGTTTATCTATTCGTTACCAGGAGGTTTCATTTGAATTTTTTCAACCACCTGATAAACTGAGAAAACAAATTTACTGTTTCACCAAATATTGATTAAATGTATTTATACATGAATTCGGATGCGTTGGTTGCAACATATTGTTGGGTTTTGAGCATCTAGAATCCTAATTAAATTCAATTAATTTAAGTGGCGACAATGAACAAATTGACTAGAACGTTTTAGTGATACTAATGTGTTAAATAAATAAAAAAAGGCGAATAGTGTAAGATCTTATCAGTTCAATAATGTTAAGACGACACAAAAGGACTCTTCAAAGTAATTAATATTCTCACAATTTGTTTTGGAATCAAAAACGTATCTTATCTTAAATATCTGATCTGTTTTGTCTTAACATAGCTCTTTTCTTAAGATGCTTTAGGGCGCATTTGGCGGCTGTACATTTAGCGATTCTATAATTGCGTCCTATTCCTTTGAATAAGCCTTTACCAAATACCTCCACTGTTACTCTGACTCTTCTGCCATCAGCTAGTTTCTCCGGGCGTCCAAATTTCGCAGTTTCAGGCTCAAGCTCTAATAGCTCTCGAATGGGAGATTTTGGAACCCGATTTGAGAATTGCTCTATTTCCGACTTCATCATGCGATAATATACCTTCCAAACGCTGTCTAGAGACATACCGGAGTCCAGAAACACTGCTCCGGCTACTGATTCGAAAACATCTCCTAGAGCTTTTGGAACTTCAACATCTTCAACCTTCCCCAAAAAAACGCAAACAGTTTGACTAAGTAGTGTTAGCAAGCCAATAAGAACTTACCTCCTCACACTCTGTTTCCACAATTAAATAGAGCTCGTCCAAAATTGTATGCCCACTTTCCTCTTGTAATCGAATAAATCGTTCAACGACATCATTCAGGCCTGGAGAGAGATGTCGGAAATATTTATGAAATCCGTGTCGCACTGCAAGGGCCGCAAATATAGTGTTATTGACTAAGGCGGATCGCAAATCGGTCAAAGCCCCAGGAGAGTGCATTCTTGGATCTTCATACAAGTGTCTGGTGATTAAATAATCCAATACCGCGTCTCCCAGGAATTCCAGTCTTTGATAGCAATCCGTGAGTTGATTCGGACTGTAAGACGCGTGAGTCATGGCCTGTAATAAATAGGATCGGTCTCGAAACTTGTATCCGATGTGCGCTTCAAAGTCATCATAACCATCCAAAAGTCGTCCCAGTTCTTCATCGGCATTGGGAAGGTGCCGTATCAAAGGCGACTTTGGAATATCCACCTAAAAATGCGCTGGTAAATGTACTAGCAAAAGTAAAAATGTATCATTTACCTCTCCGTATGTGCCATTTTCATTTTTCGGCAAAACACGAATTCCAAGCCATGCCATAAAGAGCAATGCCCCTCTAGGCCCGCACTCAATGAGATAAGCTCCGATTAAAGCTTCCACACAATCGGCAATGCTTTTGTCCGGAATGCTATGTTGGGTGACTAAGTTGTACGGAATGATACTCGGAAGTGTGTTTACACTTCGCTCCCGCACCATTAAGCAAATTTCTTCAATAGTCATATTTCTAGTAGCAGCCATATCGGCGACAGTCCAGCAGTTAGCCGGAAACTGAGCGTCTATAAGTGCATCTTCCAGCTGTTTGGGAACATAGAAGCACGGTGGAAGCCAATTGTCATGAGGATCGAATTTTGTTGCTATCATATAGTGCCCTAAACTTCGCCTTTTGCCTAATTTGTACAAGTTTAGATTACTGACTTGTTTTGATCTCAAGTGGCTTAACTTTCCTTCATGCACATCTTCATATTTCGAATACAAGTAGTTTGTAATTGCATATTTCAAGAATGAATCGCCTATGGTTTCGAGCCTTTCAAGATTAATACCGTCATTGGCATTGGACATAGTGAGAGCCTGAAGTAAAACATTAGGACTTGGCCCTGGGTGACTTTTTAGATCGGGCTGCATATCGAAGCTGAACGTAAGCTCGTCATACGTTTCATATTCATTAATGAAGGCCCCCGAAGGAACGTCAGCTATTCGTTCCAAAGTCACATTTTCAATGTATAATTTGCGAATATCAAAATTTTCCATTTGCCCTGCTAACGCGTCAATATGCCTAATGGTTTCCCCAGAATCTTTATAAAAGTTATCATCTCCCTTCAAAAGGATTCCACTAGACAAAATGTGTTCCCTGTTCTTTGCACACGCTTCATTAAATTTCGATCTTAATTCATCAGTTTCCGAACTGTTGTCAGCAATGCTCCATGCATTTGTATCATCAACAAGGCAAAATGACCCATCTTTGGCATCTTCATCGTCCAAGGCCTCAGCCTGATGATCACCCGTGAATTCGATTCTTAAACCCCCCCATTCATGACCTGAATCCTCAGATTCTATTTGCGAATTGTCATCAGACATGTCTGAAAAATCATCCTCCCATGCTCCGTTTGGGTAGCAACTTGTTGGTGAGCCATATCTAATTATTCCATTTGAGACAGTTTCACCAACAGCCATATCGTTTGACCATGTGCCAATTTCGAGGCCCCAGTTTTCTTCATCATGACCATCATTCACCGAATCGCCAGAATTTAAGGATTCCCCACAATCTATTGGTTCTTCATGGTTACCAAGGTGAATTTCAGTGATTTTTAGCGCATCTAGCTTTGCTTCAGCTTTTTCTTGTAGAATGGTTAACTCTTCCTGCTTACGCATTTCCTCCTCTTTGGATTTTCTTAATACATCAGACAAATTCCATCCGAAATTTAATGCAGGCCATTTGAAATCTGCGATAAAAAAGGTAAAGATATGAAATGTACCAAGTAGAAAATTTTACCTTCATCCAGATGAATCCGGCCTAAGCCAAGATCGATAGCTACAGTGGTTCGTATTTGGTCGGCCAGCAAAAGCGCATTAACTCTGTAAAGTATACAGGGTAAAGCCACAGCTTTTCGCCACAAAGACGCTGGAAATGGGTGAATTGCACACAATTCTGGTACTAAAATCTGCTTCTGTTCCAGATTTTCCCTCTTGGCACGTTTGGTCTCCTCACTGCTCGTTGGCAAAGCTACGCCTTTCCTGTTCACATATCGTGGCGTTAAAAAATTTAAGCGGGCGGAAGTATGATCGACATCTAGCAGGTACTGATCCAGATTCTGTATTTGAATTCCATATTTTCGATGATAATACTCCTCAAAAGATTTGTAATCTGAACCAGGAAATGCGGATTTCGGATTCAAGAATGAGCATATTTCAGCAACGTAAAAGTATTGAGGCTGATCCTGATTTCGATACCAAGGCATTACAACAGCATCTTTATAGTTTTCAATGTCGAATTGATATTTAATTCGGGCCTCATCGGGTATTAATTGAGGAACAAAATCTAGACTTTTGTATATCACGTCTATGAAATTCCAGTCGACTTCAACTCCCTTTTGGGCTAAAATTCAACATATCAAGCCACACAAAGCCAAGGATTAAAACAGAGATAACTTACTGTCGATTGTCGGGACGATAAGATAATTTTTTTGTGAACTATTTGGATCGAAAAGCATTAAATACTTCTGAAGACGCAAGACACTTGTAAAGGTGTAATTTACAAACTCTTCAATTTTATGAGTTTGTAGTTCGTCTAGGACTATTTGGTCAGAGCAAAGAACTAATTCTACACTGACCTCGCCTGACCGAGTAAATATTGGAAAAGCGCTGATCTAGAAAGCGGAAAAAGTCAATTATATACAATCAGCGTCACTAAAATATTTCCTAACTTTTGGAATTTCCTTGCTTGTCAATACACCAAATCCCTGTATGGATTCTTCTGGAGGATAAATTTTTCTGCCACGAGTATTTTGCTCCTCAGGTAGAGGGCATGTTAAAGTCATGGTGATCTTATAGAAAAATGAAGGCATCAGAACTTTAGGATGGCAATCTAGTAACGCATTTGCGATCTTCTTGTAATAATATTGCCTTCTTTTAGTTGTGCCTAAAGTAAAATTGGTCATTTAGACACACAAACTTGCTTTGAACAAACTTTTTTACCTGGTCTAACTTCCGAATTGTCGTCAAACTGTTCATCCAATAAAGTATTATTCCAATCAGCATCTAGAGGGAGAAAGTTTTCTTTGCTAATTGGCAGGAGTTGATTATCAAGTTCTCCCACCTTGTGCAGATACTGACACAATATGAAAGCGGCTGCTCTTCTTGAAAGTAAAGGGTTTGGCATTGGAGGGCTTGAAATTGTTTGTTTAACGGGACTATTAATAGGTAATCTTATATGGCAAACCCATCCATCCTGCACTTGCTCTTCATGCCAAATGGGTGTTAATCTAAATAAAATAATATTATGTAATTTTCGTATACAATGTTCTAGACTATAAATTACCTAGTAAAGTTATCACTTGGAAGTTTAGCGCAGTATCGATTAATTAAAGATATTGAATTAAACATAGTAACGCTTGGAAAGCCCTCTTTTTCTACAGGGCGGTAGGGTGCACAACTGTTCGAAAAACTATCGGCTAAACGCTCTTCCGATTTACTTGGCTCTAGGCTTTGGCACCTTCGTAAAAGAGTATTTTCAATCTAAAAGCAGCATTTAACCTAAGTGATAGCATACATAAAATATTTCACGAAACATACCTCATTATACTGAGCTAACTTACTAACAAAACTATACACTTCGTTATCATTAGCAAATAGTAAGTAATAGGATTCAGACGCTCGCGCTCGAGCTTTACTTTGAATGTAGCTATGGAATGTTTGAGGTAAATCAAATCGAACAACCAAATTGCACTTCGGAAGATCACAGCCCTGTTCCAGTACTGCAGTTGCAACTAGAATATTACATTCATGACACCTAAATTTTCTCAAAACTTCCTCTTGTATTTTGTGCTCTTGCTCTGCTTCTCTGGGTTCTTTGGAAATATCTGCAACTTTTTCGACGGAGAAAAGAGCTGATATCCACCAAAAATCATCGTCTTCTTGCGATAAACACTGCAATAAACATATTTATAAAAATATCTAGTCTCAAACCGAGAATTTTGTGATTGCTCAACATACAAACGCTAAATCTAAATCACAAATCGCTGTTAATTCTCGTTGTTATGTGATATATGTTTATTGTGATGTACTACTTACACAAAGTAGTCCAAAAAGAGCTTTCGCCTTGTATTTGTTATGGACAAAAATGAGAGCGCATAACATATCGTCCATTTGCAATCGTTGATTTAAACGTTTCGGTTTTCCTTTGCCTTTTCTGAACACTCCGGGTTGAACATCGTTCGCTGATTGCAACTTTTCTTCTTCATCAATCTTTGGTTTTTCTCCAGCTGGTTTGAATTGGCGTAGCACATGAATGAATTTTAAAACTTTGGTTGTAGAAAAGTGTTGAAGCTTTGCAATTTCGTTGTCATAAATTTTAAATTTATTATCACAGAGCGCTCTAGTATGAATTAATGTAGTTGAAGTAATACATAATAACAGGTAGTGTCTTTCGTATGGCGTTTTTATCTAAAATACATGTTACACATTAAAAACTGAAAAAACTCCATGATTTGAGATGTCATTTACCTTTAGCTTCTCTATTTTTGAAAGTATATTGATCGCAGCTTTGTCGGCACCCCAAGGACCTAAATCATCCAAAATGTCTAGATAACTAGTAAGCAATTCTAAAGGAATTTGTTTGGGATCTGGAATATCTTTAAATTCTTCTAAAAATTCCTCGTCGTAAATTTCACTGGGGTCATATCTGTGTTCTCTTAAAAATTCTCTACACTTTTCCACCAAGCTAATGAGTTCTTCATGTAAAGTAAAAGATATTTCCTTAGGACAAGTAATTAAGCATTCTTTGGGATGACACGAGAGGCGAATAAGTGTAACTATTTCACTTGATGTATCAACATGAGAACTAAGCAATTTCTCCAGCCTTCTAAGCTCTGCCTCAAGTCTATCAGATTGCAAATCAGTGCTCAAAAGTCCTGTCGTGAGTCCTAATATCCTTGGCCTCAAGTGTTCATTTAATTGTTCATATTTGGACATAATTTCTTTTATTTTGTTTTGCCTATTACCGTAGAGACAATTATCTATAACAAGGACATTGTACTTGCTAAGGTCCAGCAGGAAATTACAGTTAGAACAAACTTCTGATGTAGTTACAATAACCTGATTGTCACTGACGATATTGTCATTGTACTCGTTATCTTCACATAAACTAACTACTTTCAAGTCTGTAAGGTATTCTACATGCGAAGCCAGAACAGGGACATTTTGGGGATCCAAAATGAGCAAAGCTTTTTTATAAGGTTCACCTCGCATTTGCCAGGAAAACTCCTGCAGAAGTTTCACTAACAAAAAGGCTTTGGAAGAGCTAGTGCTGGAACAAACTATAGTATTTTTTCTCTTGCATGAGTCAAGTAGTTCTACTTGATACTCTCGAGGAGTAAAAGTATGTGTATAAACATTCTCGTTCAAATAGCAAGCCATTTTTGGGCTATAATGAAAATTGCAGCAGAAAAATTGTAACAAGATATACAGGAATTTTTTTCACTGATAACCACATACTAGAAGCACCCCACAATATTTGTCAGACCGGTCAGTTAACATTAAGTCTTTCCACTTGTCGAAAATTTTAATATTATGAGGTATTAAGAAGAAATAAATTCTAAACACACTTTCACTGATTTATAGACTGATTCGCTGACAAATGGGACTTGCAAACAACCGAAGTGAGGTTTCGTACTCGCATCTCGTCTTTTTCGTATTTTATTTGGTTTTTCAGAAGCAAAATTAATATAATCTGGTCGGAGTTCTTTTTAACTTTCCTTAAAGTACACTTAAAATAACGCACATTCAAGGAAAAAAATGCGGATTGTCCAGAGAATAATGCTAGGAAACATTTATAAACTTTAATAAAATCTCGATATTGTGCCTATATTTTCTGCAGTGTTGCCAGACTGTACAACGTGTTTAGCAGTAGGTAGATCCTAATGGTACAGCTTATATCTCATGATATTTAAGCTGTGATCATAGATGAAGACAAGCTGTCTTCATGTGTATATGGCTGTGCTAATGGCTTAGCAGTAGAGCGGTACTGCTCATAAAAACGGTAGACCTGGCAAGCCTGTTCATAATTTCTTCGATCAGCTGAGAAACGCGAAAACAGCGCGCTCTCAGCCTGTGCCAAAAATAAAAAGGTAGAACTGTCATTGCGAGTGACTCCATGTACTTTGACCTTTATAGTAATTAGTAACAATAAGTCAATGTTTACTTAGTTAATGCCGCACCCGCAGTCTTTCCTGTTAGTTTGCGGAATTTAATTTATATAGGAACTCTATCACTGTATGTAAAACAAGTCGATCTGCTAATCTGCATTGAGCCCTTGATGAAAATGACATATTAGATCCTACATTGAGCAACAGGAAGTGAAAATTATTCTACAGCCATGGCAGGCACCGAAAGAGTTTCCATGCATGATGCCGTATCCAATGTAGACGTATTAGACGAATTGCCACTGCCAGATGAACAGCCTTGCATTGAAGCCCAACCCTGTAGTGTGGTGTACCAGGCCAATTTTGACACCAATTTTGAGGATCGCAATGGGTTTGTTACTGGTATTGCTAAATATATCGAAGAAGCCACTGTGCATGCCGGATTGGTAAGTTACTTACCACTACATCAGTCAATTTACGTGTTAAATTGATCATCGTTTATAGAACGAATTACTGGATGAAGGACAAGAACATGCAGTAATGCTGTACACTTGGAGATGCTGCTCCAGAGCAATACCCCAGCCCAAATCCAATGAACAACCTAACAGAGTTGAAATTTATGAGAAAACTGTAGAAGTATTGGCGCCTGAAGTGAACAAACTCTTGAACTTCATGTATTTCCAAGTATGAAGTATTTCATATTGCTTGCGATGCCAGTGAAAATGATCATTTTGTTTTTCAGAGAAAAGCTATCGAGAAATTTTCTCACGAAGTGAAACGGTTGTGTCATACAGAGAAGAGAAAAGACTTTGTCTCTGAAGCTTATCTTCTAACTTTAGGGAAATTCATCAATATGTTTGCCGTACTAGATGAACTTAAAAACATGAAGTCAAGTGTGAAGAATGACTACTCAACATACCGAAGGTTGGGTAATTTACTTTAAGCCCCATTTTAGATAATAATTTTTTCATTATGTATTAGGGCTGCACAATTCCTGAAAGTGATGTCAGACTCTCAAACCTTACAGGAGTCACAGAACTTATCTATGTTTCTTGCCACTCAAAACAAAATTAGGGACACAGTCAAAGAAAATCTAGAGAAAGTGCCCGGGTATGAGGAACTGTTAGCAGATGTGGTCAATATTTGTGTTCACATGTTTGAATCGAAAATGTACCTTACTCCGAGTGAAAAACACATGCTTGTTAAGGTCATGGGATTTGGATTGTTTTTGATGGATAATGATACGTGGAATATTAACAAGCTGGATCAAAAAAAGAAATTGAGACTTGACCGAATAGACAGAATATTCAAGGTAACATTTCAACCTTTCGTCTTCATTGAATCGGTTACTATTGAAAGTGGCGGTTTTTTAGAATCTTGAAGTCGTGCCCCTTTTTGGTGACATGCAAATCGCCCCGTTCAACTACATAAAAAGAAGTAAACATTTTGATGCAAGTAAATGGCCACTTTCCAGCAGTCAAACACCATCTCCACAGGCTGATCTGATGGTGCATTTGCCTCAAATTCGAGAAGATCATGTAAAGTACATTTCTGAACTTGCCAGATATTCAAATGAAGTCACAACCACCTATAAGGAATCTGGTACTGAGGAAGAAAACAAAGACACTGCTGACTTAGCCCTCAGAGGTTTGCAGCTGCTTTCAGAATGGACTAGCGTGGTAACTGAATTATATTCGTGGAAGCTTTTGCACCCTACAGATCATCACCAGAACAAAGAATGTCCGAAAGAAGCCGAGGAATATGAAAGAGCAACTAGATACAACTACACAGAAGAAGAAAAGTTTGCACTAATCGAAGTAATAGCAATGATTAAGGGTTTGCAAGTATTAATGGCCAGAATGGAGACTGTCTTTACTGATGCGATAAGGAGACATATATATGCAGAGCTGCAAGTGTTTGTACAGTTATCTCTAAGGGAGCCATTGAGAAAGGCCGTTAAAAACAAGAAAGATCTTATTAGAAGGTCAGTCCTTGATTTGATTATTAAACAGTCTTAATTTTCTAGTTTCGTCTAATTTATTTACAGTATAATTATGTCTGTGAGAGAAACCTGTGCGGATTGGCATAGTAGAATCGATCCAAATCACGATCCAGCATTAAAAGGCAAAAAAGATCCGGATAATGGGTTTAATTTGAAAATACTGGAAAGAAATGTTGGTAAGTTTTAGGCACATAAAATTTCGCTTTGTATACAGAGACGAATTTTATTGTGTTTCCATAAAGGGCCGTCTTCAACACAGCTTTATATGGTCCGAACCATGCTGGAATGTTTGATATCTGAAAAATCAGGAGGTAGAAAAACATTGCGTAAAGATATTGATGGGTCTTATTTAGTGCAGATTGACCAGTTCCATAAAACTTCATTCTATTGGAATTACATGTTGAGTTTCAGCGAATTTTTGCAAAAATGTTGCGACCTTTCGCAGTTGTGGTATCGGGAATTCTACCTTGAAATGACAATGGGGAGAAGAATAAATGTAATTAAAACTGAATGTAGTGAAGAGAATATGATGTATTTCTTACATATTTTTTTGAGTAGAAATGTACTGTGAGACATCACCACAATGAGGAGTGCAATGATTTGATCACCATGGAAAAACGAATTCAATTTCCTATTGATATGTCCATGCCCTGGATTTTGACTGACCATATTTTAAAAACCAAAGAACCCTCAATGATGGAGTGTGTATTTTTTCCTAATGTTTTTCATTTATCTATTTTCTTTTTAATTCAAGGTATGTGTTGTATCCGCTCGATTTATACAATGACAGTGCTCTGTATGCGTTGACAATATTTCGAAAACAATTTTTATATGATGAAGTTGAAGCCGAAGTAAATCTGTGTTTTGATCAGTTTGTCTTTAAACTGAGTGAACAAATTTTTGCATACTACAAGCAATTGGCGGCAAGGTAACTTATTTCTCTTTAATTAAATAGGTAAAATGCCAAAACCGTTTTCAATGTTGCAGTATATTTTTGGACAAACGGTTCAGAGTTGAATGTGCCGCTATAGGCGCATATTTGTTGCCGTACCCAAGAGCAAACCGTTATGAAACTCTATTGAAGCAAAGACATGTGCAATTGCTGGGTAGATCGATTGATTTAAATAAGCTTATTACACAAAGAATAAATGCTGACATGCAGAAGTCTTTAGATTTTGCCATTAGCAAATTTGAAGCTGGAGATATTACAGGAGTTGTCGAGTTAGATGGTTTGCTACAAGTATGTATTTATAATTTCACGAAAATTCATACATCAATCCAAATCCATTTTGTATTGAACGTTTTTCAGGTAAATCGACTGTGTCACAAGCTTCTTAGCAAGTTATTAGCATTAGATGATTTCGATTCAATGTTTAGAGAAGCAAACCATAACGTGTTAGCACCATATGGCAGAATTACGCTTCATGTTTTTTGGGAATTAAATTACGACTTCCTACCTAACTATGTTTATAATGCAGCAACAAATAGGTACTTGTATATTTATAAAAATAAATAAGACCATATATATATATATTTATTTGCTTCTAGATTTACCAAATATAAAGGGATTGCATTTTGCCAGGCAGTGACCAGAGATAGACCACCACAAATGTCCCATCATTATTTATGGGGGACAAAACAACTAAACTTGGCTTATACTACACAGTATAGTCAGTACTTCGGTTTTGTTGGTCCGCAGCATTTCCACACGATGTGTAAATTGTTGGGATATCAGGGCATAGCTGTTGTAATGGAAGAGCTATTGAAAATTGTAAAAAGCCTAATTCAAGGAACGCTTCTGCAGTTCACCAAAGCGTTAATGGAAGATGCAATGCCAAAAATTCTTAAACTTCCGCGATATGTTTATGGATCAAATGGAGTGTTGGGCTATTATCATGCTCATTTGTCGGACGTTGTGCAGTACCCTGACGCTAGAACCGAACTGTTTCACAATTACAGAGAGTTTGGAAATATTATACTATTCTGTTTGTTGATGGAACAGGCTTTGTCGCAAGAGGAGGTTTGCGATCTATTACAAGCTGCGCCGTTCCAGAATATTCTGCCCAGGCCCTTTTGTAAGGAAGGAGAAAAGCTGGAGAACAAACAAAAAAGGCTCGAAATTAAATTCGCAGCTCTCCAAATTGTGCCTAATATCGAGAAATTGGGAACTGCCAAAGTAAGGAAATCTTCACTACATTCGAATAAAAAACTCATTTAATTCCGTCATTCAGCAAGCCATGATATCCAGAGAAGGCGACTTGTTGACCAGGGAGCGTTTGTGTTGTGGACTATCCATATTTGAGGTAGTTCTCAATCGCCTGAAGAGTTTCTTGGATGATCCAATATGGGTGGGACCTCCACCAGTAAATGGTGTAATGAACGTGGATGAGTGTTCAGAGTTCCATAGACTATGGTCAGCACTCCAATTTGTCTACTGCATTCCCGTTACAGAAAATGAACTAACTGTTGAGTAAGTAAATGTGTTGCATTAACACTAGTGAACATTGAGTAAAAATCATTTTTATCTACTTGTAACAGAGAAATGTTTGGCGAAGGACTGCATTGGGCAGGATGCACCATGATTGTCCTTTTAGGACAACAGCGACGATTCGAAGCTTTAGATTTTTGCTATCATATTTTGCGAGTTCAAAGAGTGGATATGAAAGACGAAGTTGTGAAGCACATTGTAAGATACTAAATTGATTAGATATTTAGACCAATTTTATTGACGTTGTGCTTTCAGGACCTCAAGAGAATGTGTGATAGAATTCGCCGGTTTCAAGTATTAAATTCTCAAATTTTCGCCATTTTAAATAAATTTCTGAAGTCTGGCGAGAATGATGAGCTGTCCGTGGAACATGTGAGATGTTTTCCGCCACCCATTCACCCCTCACTAGGCGCTCAGCAACACTACCATGCTCCTGATCATGTCAGACCTTAAGTTTCTGAGGACTTAAGTAACTTCATTTAACAACGGTATTTTAGAGTTGTATTTATTGATATTGTTTTATAGTACTGTTAAGTGTTTATAACGTTTATAAATCACAAGATTGCGTAAGTATTTGTTGTTTCGTCAAAACAATGTATGTTCAACATCAAACAATGTATATAGCTTGCATAATTTGCTATCAAAAATTGCTTTCTATAAATATTGTGTCGAGACATTGTAGAGGCTGGGCTGCTAAGCGAATTTGAAAGAAAACGAACTTACAATTGATGGTTGATTTTATTTCTCTCCTTATACAGTAATAAATAAGTTATACGTATTTTCCAAAGTGGATCATAGTCTAAATAAAAATAAATTGCAGCGACTTACTTTCTAAAACAAACATCAGTCTGGAGATTCAGGATCAATTAGCTAAATTGATCTAATAATATACGTGGGAAATGAATGAAAAAATAAGAAAAAATGAAACATTAATAAAATGCCTAACTGGAATCTCATTGAAATTCTGTTTTAACAAATCGCTTACACAGAAAACTGAAAAAAATGTATAAGTAATTAAAACATCAACAAAAATATATAATAGGTTATAAAAAAGTTGTAACACATAATTATGCATAAAAAGGTAATATTTAAATAAGAAAAAGATTGCTAATAAATTTAAATTCACGATAAGTCTCAAACAAAATAATTCATTTTGCAGTTGGTTTGCAAATGTGGCTCCATCGAGATTTGCTTAACTCAAAAACAGTCAACTGGCGCTTACATTGAACACATAACATATGTTGTTCCATTTTGTGTTCATCTTTTAGATGATTTGTAACTTCGCCTCCATTGGTGAAATCCTGTCCACAATAGCTGCAGCTGAACGTTATTTGAGGCAAAGCGTAGTTTCCAGTGGTTCTACTGGACTCTGGCTTGAAATTTTTAAGGTGAAGTAAATATTCATCAATCTGTTCATCGCCGGCTAAATGCGCAATGGTGAATTTTATTTTAGGAATAATGACTTCCGTATAAGCAATATCGTGTTTACTAGGAACATTTCTTGCCAGCTTCTTATTTCGAAAGTAAGAGCATTTACCAATGTTATAAAGAACTGAGGTGTTATTGGCTATAGTAGGAGTTCCATTTATAGTGACGTTCAATTCTTCGATATCGAGTAAAAGCTCTCCAATAACCGTTTGAAATGCCTCTGAAATAACTGGCGATGGATAGACATGTTTCAATGCCTCCACATATCCGGTGGTCATTTCTTTTAAATATCCTACAGTGTATGCATGTCTAGTAATTTTTGGGTCAACTATTTTGAGTTCTTCAGTTGTGTTCACCGACGGAAGTGGCGCTCCCACTAGGCTAATGTGCCTGCAAAACTCCGTTAAATTTATTCTAGAAAACGAAAATATAGGACTTGTCAGATGCACTCCAACATGGGGCCAGGATATCAGTTGCTTTAGGGTAATGGTGTCAAGCAATTTTTGGTCCCATTCCAAAACTCCGTGCTGCTTCAAAATAATATCTCCTTCTCCGTTGTGGGTAAAAACCAATGTGTTCAGTACTGCAGGTTTGGCGGTAATATGAATTTCGTAGGGGGACGTTTCTTTAGGCACTGTATTGTCAGTTTGAGTATTTTTATCTTTTAGTTGCTCAAATATGTACTTTTTCAACACATCGTACGTATCAACCTTTTTCTGGTGAGCGACCACTTCTTTGTAGTGGACGTTAATTGTCTCATTCAACTTGAGGGCTATAAAGTTGGAAAACTTATCAAACCACGATTTAAACGTAATATGCCCCGAATAATATTCAGCACTCCTGTACCAACCAGGCCATGTTTTGATGTAATGCACTAGGGCGTAAGGTAAAATGCTTTCCAGGTCTGGTTCAAGGGAGCTCAAATTTATATTTAGCTCCTTTCTCAGCATTAGTCGGAGTACTTCCAGCTCCAAATTCACTTGCTTGCGGTCCACCAATGCCGAAAAACATTTCTTTAAACCACTGTTTCTTGCTTCTTTAGCTGGTTTGGCTTCTTCTGCGGATATTGAACACCTCGCTGATTTTTCATCATCCTGACGATGGGAAGACACCGCCCCGGCGGTTTCTGCGTGAGACTGCATCACAACAAACACTTTAATTCAAAGTTTTAGAAAACACTGCAATCACAAGTTAGTTAACAAGATAGTCTAACCTAAATCTTCTACATCTCACCTTCTCGAAATTGAATTCCGTATAGAAGAATGATGTGTTGTGAGTTTTGACGTCAAATGTGGCCTTTAAAATGCGAAACTGTGACAACCTTCTAGCTTGCGGAACTTCAAGTTTCTTAGCAAATAAACAACAATAACCATGTAAATTCGCCTTGACGGTTAGTCGCTCAATATTGCTTAAACAATGTATTCCTAAATCATGTCGGAAATTAATAATTCGGTGTTGCTCAGCACTTTTTTGAATGGGAAGAAAAAAGTGAAAATCATTTTCCATAAGGCAGTCCTAGTTTGGGACAATGAAAAACCACCTCTCGGTATGTACCTCTAATTACTTTCCTTTAATAACACAAGCTGGACCTCGAATGAACTTGTTCAGTGTGCACAAAACTCTTCAATCTGTTTTACATTTATTGATGGAGACTCATGGAGAAACTAATGCCTTTGCGTAATTATTTGGAAAAGCTTCATGCTGCTTGATTTACCCCAAACACAACTCTCTAGAAGCGCATTCTTATTCTACATCGTTAACAAGCATTAATCGTTTTCAAGAGCAACACACTGTACCAATAGAAAATGTGATATCAGTGCAGCCTAATTATTTAAAAGCGACTCATCCATCTATGCAAAGGCAGATAGACCCCAATCAATTTACGATTCATTATGCCGAAAAGGCAGTTGAGGACAGATGGCTGTACAAATCACTTTCCCTCAAACATAACGATTCGCTGCAAGTGGCATCATGGGTTAAAACATTGCAAAATCATATATCAAGTGAGTAGCCCTATGTTCTTCATGTTATTATAAAAGTTTCCTTAACTGGATACTTGACATAAAATCTTACTTTCAATTAATTAATTTAATGCTTTGACATTGAAAGTGTTCATGAATGTTCAATAGTTTACTATTTTATGGTCATTTCACACATGTTCACTCGGAAGCAGGGCCGGATTAACTAGGGTCCGGGGCTACGATCCCTGCAGAGAACATTTTCTAAAAAAGAAATAAAACACGCAATATAGATTGCGTAGCCCCCGTAGCCCCCTTAGATCTGCGAGCTTAATCGATTCCTTTCGACGTAAGAAGGTCACAAATATGCATTTATAAAGTTTTTGGGCCAATTTTCATTTTTTCAAAAAATCGACCCCTACCATTGAAAAAATTTCGATCAAAAATCAAAATTTCACGTGCGTGTTTTTTGAGCTCAATCGATTCCTTTCAACGTAAGAAGGTCACAAATGTGCATTTTTAAAGTGTTTGAGTCAATAATAAGGAAGAAATTGTCGGCTAAAGATCGTGAACGCTCAAAAAACGCTTAACATTGCCGAAAATGTCTATTATTTCGGATCTGAAACCTCTCGCATGTTTTTCAATGAGTTCGATGCATTCCTTGCGTCCGTGAGCTGAAAATGATGTAAAATTTAAGACATTTTGAGAAAATTTTAATTTTTTCAAAAAATCGACCCCTACCATTGGAAAAATTTCGACCAAAAATCAAAATTTCACGTGCKTGTCTTTTGAGCTCAATCGATTCSTTTCAACKTAAGAAGGTCACAAATGTGCATTGATAAAGTGTTTGAGTCAATAATATGGAAGAAATCGTCGGCTAAAGATCGTGAACGCTCAAAAAACACTTAAAATGTGCCGAAAATCTGTATTATTTCGGATCTGAAACTTCTAGCATGTTTTTCAATGAGTTCGATGCATTCCTCGCGTCTGTGACCTGAAAATTATGTAAAATTTAAGATATTTCGAGAAAACTTTCATTTTTTCAAAAACTTGGAAAAAGTGTTATTTGTTCGAATGGCCTCTCGAGGGATTGAAGGACCCGGAAATGTGACTTTAAACTAGAAAATTAGCGATTGTAAATAAAATGTTGACGATTTTTGCGACTTAAATCGTTGGCGGGATATTAAGGGTGGGAAGTTTTCAAATTGAGACCCGGTATATTGGAAAATAAGAGCCTTCCACAGGGAGACCAAGGTAAGAGTGCATTACATCTGAAACTTCTAGCATGTTTTTTAACTGAACTGAAAACTATGTAAAATTTAAGACATTTTGAGAAAAAAAAAGGAAAGCCGCAATATAGATCTAACCGAGGCCCGGTGCCCCCGTAGCCCCCCCCCCCTTGATCCAGCCCTGCTCGCAAGGCGGCCTGGAACTTGGTTGAATTACTGTAATTGCTCAAAGTTAATTGATGTCCAGGAATGCTATTTTATATCTTTAGATTTACTTTAAAATAACATTATCATTAGGTCAGTTCATGTCCATTTATGGCTTTGTGCTGAGCACAAACGGTTTTTAATTAGAAGGGGTTTTGGTAATTTAATTCACATTATATGTATGGTGTTTTATTTCCAATTCACTCACCTGACTGTCAAGGACATAAGCTTAATTCATGACTGGCATTAAATATTTATACAGTGTGATTCAGTTAAACATCGGTTTTCTTTTGATTTATACGTAAACGATTCTATAAGGTATAGGGTGATGTTTTTTTTGACTGGCACTGACGATGATCGCTTATTTGCAAGGATATGATTGCGCAATCAATTTAGAAACTTTTTTCTCGTTTGCAATTTTATGGTGCYTGTAACCAYCGTTGTTGTTGCTTCCGTTATCAAAAATTTAAATAACAGCAAATAAAAGACGCGTCATGTTTGAAGAAGCGATCGGCTAAGGCATAAGGATATGAACAATTGTCAACAGAAACAAACTCGAAGAAAATATTAAGTGTATCCCGGATAAAGTACTAGGATAATTGTAAAAAACGTGTCATTATGAAGCACACTGTATAAATGGTAATGTTGTGTTTTGCATTGCAAAAACATTTCCAGAGGACTCCTTTTTCTTAGCAATCGATTGTTTCCACTTCAATTCTAGAGTTTCACAAACGACCGAAACACCTATTGCTGTTCGTAAACCCCTTTGGGGGTAAGCAAAATGCAATGCAGATATACGAAAAGTACGGAAAAGATTTATTTGCCATTGCTGGAGTGGAAGTCACCGTCAATGTTTCGCAGAGGAAGGATCAAATAAGGGATTTTTTAATTACTCACAATTTAGATACCTTCGATTCGGTGGCCTGCGTTGGTAGGTAAAAAATACGCCCGTTTGAAGTCTATTCGAATTAATTAGCCTGTTATAGGAGGCGATGGCACAGTTTCAGAACTATTCAATGGATTAGTTGTCCGGGAATGTAGAGCAAATGGTATAAACCCGAACGATATCCATCAGGTATTGCCGAAACCCAAAATACCCATTGGTATTATTCCTGGTAGGTCTCGGGTCACTTGGAAGATTTTTATGAACCTTTATCATATTTGAAGGAGGCAGTACCGATACAATCGCGTATTGCCTACATGGTACTACAGACCCCACTACAGCCGTGCTTCAAATCATATTTGGCGATACTTTAGGATTAGATTTAGTGTCGGTCTATGATGAGCATAATCTTCTAAGGCTCTATGCAAGTGTGTTGAGCTATGGGTATTTGGGAGACGTAGCTTATCATAGTGATCAATACAGGTGGATGGGCCCTCACCGCTATGATTATTCCGGTAAGAAGGCTGCGATAAAAAAGCCGAATATTCCGCTTACACTTTACGTAACTAGGTTTCAAAAAATTAGTGCTAAATAAAGGATACCAAGGTGAAATTGCTATTTACACTGACAAGAAAGAAACCGAACAGGAAGACTGCAAGAGTAATTGCCAAATTTGTGATAGAGCCAAGCTGAACCACGAAAGAGCTACTTGCAAGTGAGTTGTAAGCCTCTTTGCTTCAACCTGCAGAAAGAGTCTAGACCGAATTTGATTTTCAGATGGGAGACATTTCGAGGTAAATTCTTCATGGTCAGCGGAGCAAACATTAGCTGCGCCTGCAGCCGGAGCCCTAAGGGCATTGCTCCGTATTGCCACTTAGGGGATGGAAAAGTTAACTTAGTATTGGTCAAACATACCTCAGTATTTAACAACTTACGGTAACGACTAAAATTTTTTTTTACTGCAAAGCCTAATGTTAGACATGTTAGATTATTATTGCGGTTATCCAGTCAAGATGCTTCCGTGGACGACTTGCCATTTGTGGAAACGTTTAGCGCTAGGGAATTTTGCTTCAGGGCTGATAATGGATCCCCTAGCAAGTGGAACTGCGATGGAGAAGTGCAACATCAAACAAACATTAGAGCCAAGTAAGCATCGAAATAATAAAATTAAGGCGAAGACACTAATAAATGGATGCCTCTGCAGAGTTAGATGCCAGTTGCTCACAATTTTTAGCCGCGGCAGTGAGAAGGTCCGAGATAACAAGGGCAGATGCTGCAACATTTGACATTGTTTTCTGGGAACATTTTTGCACTGTACATTAATCAGTATTTGAGAGTATTTTAAGTTGAAGACAATTGCTCATAGTCAACAATATTTTAGTCAAGCAAATGTATAACCGGCGCATTGTTATATCACATTCAACTTTACCCCCTTTGTGATAAAACTGAGTCATATTGGCTTGATGTATTCTTTTTACTAGAGTATTTTTTACCACCATATAATTTTAAATAACACGAGAGCCAATTGCATAAATTCAGTTATATGGTGTTATGCCTTAGGATTAATGTATGGTTGTAGTTATTTTTTAAAGAGTATTTTGCTTCACAGTCCAACAGAAGGATTCTTTGTAGCATATTCATGCCACCGTGAAAAGCACAATGAATCTGCTGCAACAAAATCCTTGATTGTTAACTGTTTTCAGATATTGTGATGTTAATTTTTTCATCCAATAGATTGTTCGTATATGAAAGTATTTGAAATATTATATGTATAAAGAGAAACGTCTAGGGAAGGGTTGGGAGACGGAAAGCCAATAAAAAATTAATTATTTATTTTTCACAAACACTACAGCGTTTTATTTTATCTCAACCAACCTGCTTCTTGCCGAGTTGTGACCAAAACCCACCTGTCCAATACTGTAAAAAAACATATTTACAAAATTATACATCCAAACTTTTTAAATCTTACGTGAAGTCTTCAAGCCATTGCGAATCAGCATATCATTCAATTTGACGGATTGCCGGCGTTTCACCTTGCTCACGTGAGTAGTCCATACCTAAACAAAAAAATATAATATGCTACTAAATAGCTTACTGTAAAAAACTCACCGCAATATAAAAGTGCCTATGTCACCAAGTAAGCGAGGTAAGATCTTCAGGCCCTGTGGAACCAAAAAATCGATTAGTTTTACTTTTCAAACAGTTTAATTTTTTCTTAAAGAATAGACATAATAGTTTGCTTGATCTCCCTGAGTGCTATTCAACTTTTAACTGCATACAACTTTCCCATCTATTTTACGATTGCTTGTTGCAAGTAATTGTTTTTTTTTTCAAGTTATTCTTATTCACGCATTGCTTTGTGGTTTTCTTATTCACACACTTCTTATGCGCATTTCAAATATTCGTCATCAATAAGAGAACGTCTTTATCAGTTTATAAACCCGATTTACGTAACATTTGCATGTATATTTCCAATTTCTCAACTGTTACGTATATTTCGGCTTATTTTCCCACCCAAAATTTGTTTAGTTTATATCGTCCCATCATGTATGAGATGATTAATCAAAAGCTAATCATATCATAGCAGGCAATAGAGAACTTTTTTGGTATTAAAATAGGTCAGTTCGGGTTTAATAAGATTCGACCAAGTTCATCTGGCTCTTATAATTGATCTAAGTTTACTGTGTATGGTTAATACGGTATTACTAAGGGCTATTTAGTTGTTAAAATGTTACCATTAGACCTGAAGCAATAGATAAAGAAGTGCTTCATCTTCAAAATGTTGAAATTGTTCTTCCTATTCTTAAGTTTGGGCCAGGGTTGGCTACAATGGATGCATTCGTTGTTATGTGACTATTTTAAACGACTACTCCCTTTTTACTTATAATAAACACGCACCTCAAAGAAGTAGTCGGCTAAAATCACGAAGTTGTGTCCTATATTCCAATGGTATAATAGATCAATTGCTAAAATATAAAAATTAAAAGGCGTATCTTGAACTCGTTTGTCAAAAGAGTGCACCTTAATTTAAAAAGAACACTATTAATATGACAAAAAATTAATTGCTTAATATAATTTCCTTGTTAAGTGTCTCATCGATGAAGATGTGCAAGTTGCATTTAGGGATTATGTATCGGAAAATAATTCTAGTTACTTTGTTTCACTTAGAACCACTAATTTCTATGTTCATAAAATTCAATTGTAATCTTCAAGTTCCACGGCACTGCTCATCTCAATTCGTTGCTGTAAACCAGTATATAAATATGTTCTACAAAGAATCGGATTTTCCAGGATAAACTTCGGTGGTAATTTTAAATTGCAAAAAATTACTGGGGAATAGTTTGGTCGGGTGCACTGATTTATGTCGCATACATTGTACTATATTTAGATTGTCATACTTACCACTAACATGTATCATCTGTTGATTGAAATACATTAGGTATTACTCTCCTCATTCCCAATAAAAAATAATTTATAAATAATATTCATTGACGATTAGTTTTCTGTTGGTTAAATGCGGCAGGTCTTTGACTTTGCTGACAACAAAATAGTGAAAACAGGAAGTACAAATTCCATGCCTTCTTCCAAGCACTCAGAACTGATGGTTTGTGTGATGTACAATAGTTATGTATTATCAAGATCAGGTCATGTAGAAACTTATACCTCGCTGAAGTGACTCAGAAGTGAAAAAACATATATGGACACATAGGATTCAGAAAGTGGCAACCCGAAAATGTCGTTTGCTTAATGTTTCGAATTCGAAAATTCATGAGTATTTCGGTTTGGGTCTACGATCAAATTAAATATGACGCGAATTTTGCAACCAGCAGAAGAATCAACCAATTTTCATAACTGCAAACAGGAAAATATTAAGGATAATGCGAATAACACTATTTATTTTGACAGTAAGTAGGTCATATATTGAATTGCATACATATTAAACCACCACACAATACTACTAAAACATCTAAATTTGAAGTTCTTACATTAATGCCGTTGATTGAAATTAATTACTCAATTGATTGGGTACTAAAATCGATCGCGGAAATATTAAATTATTTAAATAGCTCTTAAAATTTCAAATTATTTCTATAGATTATTGATGCGTAAATGTTAAAAACAAAAAGGGCGCCCACCCCCGAGAAAAACCTGTACTGGAAGTGAACTTACGCCACTAATTACTACCTTCAGTACGCGATTACGTTAATTATAATAATTAATTAAAACTGAATAGTTTGATCATAATATAATTGAAACTACGATTTTGAATAAATAAATAATATTCTTTTGTGTAAATTCATAAATATCAAAAAGTCCATATAATCTGAACTTATTTTCATCAGAGTAAAAAGGAGTAAATCACCAAAACGTAAACAGACGAGAAATAGCCTTCCGTTTACTAGAATTAATCTCTAGAGTATAAAGCGAAATAAAACAATTAACTATTTTCACGTGTACTAGTGCACTGTTCATATGTGAACGGAGAGCAACCCCGACTCATTAAAGAAGAGGATAACGTACAAAAGCGATAATATATTCACTACGTCCGAAATCAATCTTCTATTGAGTATTATAAACAAAATTCTTTTTTGACTGCTAATCACCGTCCATTTGTGGGTCATGTGTAAATACTACAACTGACCACAATTTTTTTGAGGGTTGTAAATTGTATTCCTCAATAAATAAAAATAGATTATTCATTCTTAATAAGCAGGGCCAAGTATGCTGCCGACTGAAGCAACGTAATGGCATTGTATTTTACCGATAAAAGTCTTCAATCACTAAAGTTAAAATTTCTATTAAATTCAATGCGTACGACGACTATGCTGGTTAGTTAGAGAAATATTAGTCTCTGGATTAAATTAAGTTTTTGATCCATAGAGACTAATATTTCTTCTCTAAGGTTTGATCCAGATATATAATACGCTTGATTTGCGGTATTCTTTCTCGTATTTTCTAGACTCAAATGCACCGAAGATCAACGTTTCTCTGATCTACTGTAAAGAGTAGACACATGAAGAAAGCAAGTTTTCCGCAACTGGTCTACTCCATTATTCGATTAAGAACCTGAGGCGTTCGAAAATTATAAATATTAGTAAACAATAAAATTTCCGGAAGCTTTTCCATTTTAGCGGCTATCCAAGGCCCGTATTTATAAACGAACCGCAACTCAATACTGTAGCGTTTTCAAGATAAATATTAACTATACAACAATGGACACTGACATGTAGCCAATGTACATGCCAATATTTATAATTTTCCAATGACTGAAATTCTTCAGTGGAGGATGAATTTTACAATTTTATGTAAGTCCAGCCCCGATTTTGAGCGTTGGAAAATTCACTTTTTTGGTGTATCTACCACAATGCGAATCATTAAAACTGATATACATTTGATATCCGTTTGAATTGGGCGCCCTGGAACTGAAAATTAATCTTTAAAACTATTAGTGGTTAAGACTGGTTAATTAGAATCTGCGCCGTTTGCTCTGATATTCGTCTGCACCGCCGCCGCGTCTGTTATCGCTGACCCAGTGGCCCCTTCCAGAATGGGCGTTTGAAGCCCTGGCTTGACCACCATCACGTCCTTCGTAACGGTTGTGACGCTCATACGAGCTCATGAATTGTTTCGGATCCTGTTGTGACATTATAATAAATTTTGTTACAGTCGATCATCATTTCTTCGACGTTCCGTCACATCAAGTTACAGTAATAGGATGGTTTCAAAACCACCTCCTTTCAACCATTTACCTTTGATTTTTAGATGTATTATACCCCCAATTTGACATTCGAGATTTTAGGAGAGATTATTAAATCAAGGTGCACAATAAACCTATAGGTCTGACAGCAAAACACATGACCCAGATCCCTTCAATGACAAAAAAGCACAAAACCACAATGATTTCGTCGAATTGCTCACATCAGGATAATCTCGGGTACTTGGAAATCTTGGATCAGGTAACATGGTGTTTAGACAGGACTGCCACGGTTTGATCACTAAACCAAAAGTAGAAAGAGTCTAAGATGAACTCACTAAATCTGCTTGGCATCGAACAAGCGAGGAAATTGTAAAATAGATGTAGATAGTCTAAAAGCTTGGCCTGTAATACGTTGAGGCATGCTGATTTTTGCAGACGAAAAGCTCAGTCAAATTGTGATAAATACAACCCAAAATCAAAAGGAAAAACGTTCAAGAATACTAAGCGGAGAACCCCATTGCTCGACAAATTACTTAATATACTGATAGTTGCTTTACCATGTCGAAAACAGTTTAATATACCTCGTATAGTGTTTATTATTGATCTGAGCAAAAGCGGTTTAAATAACTAGTAAATAGTTGTGCTTAGTATCATCATTCCCCAACCCCATATAAACGGTATGCGACGTAATCCATATTTATGAGCATTCAATTATTACTGCACGCATCTTTCACCAATTCACAACAGTCATACATTGGCATTCAACAACTCCCGTAATTTTAACCGCAGATTCTACGCAACGTATTTTCCAATGCATTTTTTTTTAATTCCTTATATCAACCCTAAAAAAATTAGGTTCTTTGTGAATGTTTAAAAGCCTTAATGCAATTGAATGTCGACGCTCTTTGGGTCGGTCAAAGTTCAACCATAGGCTTTGGTTGTCTACTTCTGTTAAGACGAGTAGATCGGTAACATTTATATCAATATTGCCAAGCAAATTGATATGCAATACTCGGTATTATAAGCTTTTTAGGGTAGCGTACTTTAGAACCACTTACATGAGCAGTTCAATAGAATAGTGACTAATTTATGAAAATAGCATTTGTATAGATGTTAAGTACTTCTATACTATGGGCAAATATGCAATTAGAACGGAATGTCAGATCAATAATAAACAGAGGCTTAGTTTCTAGACACTGCAGGGACCTTACCAATAAAGGAAGCTCGTATTTCAACGCTTTGCTTAATTAAAGTGCAAAAAACAAAATATTTCCAATAAGTATCCAAGTAAAGTGACCATAGGAGTCACACTCAGTATAAACTTCACGGCATCTCAATGTTTCAAACAATTGTTTATAGAATTCTCAAGTATAGTATTTTCATAATTTTCAGGGATGTAAAACTGCTGTTATATATATGTTCGTATACGATTCATTTGTATATAGGCATTTTTCACGGGATTAAATTCATAATGTGCCCCAACCCCAAATATCTGCCGGTGTAACTGTTCTATTTTCAAATGGTGTTTTGATTGTAATAAAACAATGCGCGTCAAATGAAGCATTGAACATAGCTCAGTTATCCCAAGGTACTATTTATGAACATAAAAGTTTGTTCATCGTATGTAATATGGTTTTCATATCATCTCAATTTCTAACACATTTTTGCACCAAAATTTTTCAAAATCGTTAAAATTCGCTGTCAGGTATTGGTAAGGCATGTTAATAAAATTTCATCTGTATATTGGAATAAATCCAGAAAGTTTTTCTTGGAATGGAGGAACTCTCCTGTAGCGAGAACTTTCTTGTAAGATGTACATACATATTCAAAATTGACATTAGGAATCTATTGATATTGAAAAATGCAAGTCATGTAGTTGATGAATGGAAATTGAAATCAAGCTAATGCCAATTTTAAAATCGGTGCTTAAAAGCAGGCAATATTTTCGCTATAGAAATGACATTAAACTTAAATTAAAAACACTTACCTCGTCAATTCCTCCCACATCTGAAAATAATTATAGTTATCAGTCTGATTTGTTGGTAAGGAAAATGAATGAATTACTTACTATGTTCAGAATTTGCGCCATATGGTGGCTGATCATAAGCTTGCTCTTGCTGATCCAAGAGGTTGTCCAAATTATGCGCCTGCATGAAGAGGCTGTTTTCCTGTTGTCGCCTTCTCATGTCCTCCTGCGCAGCTATCATTCTAGCTTCCATTTCCTCCTGCTGTCTTCGCATTACCTCTTCTTGACGAACACGTTCTTCTTCCGCCAATCTTTCCTTCATCTCCCATTCCCGCTTCTGACGATCTTTGTCCATTTCCCTGGCCCGCAGCTGGTTTCGTAGCATTTCCGTCTCATGTTCGTATTTAGCATATTCCATCTGTGCAATAAGTTTTTCTTTCTCTAGTTGCAACTCCTTTTTCAACGCTTCTTCCTTTTGTTGATGGAGTTCATAGAGTACCTTCCACCTCTGACCATACTCAAACTCAAAGCTATTGGGGCGCGCAAGCCTTGGTGGTTGGTCACGTTCCTTCATGAATTCCGGATGTTTTCTAGTAACGTTTCTATCTGAGAATCCGTCAACATCATCGACAACTTCAAATGGTTCAACAATGACTGGTTGTAGAGATGTTGTCAAGAAGTAGCAACCTTCTGAACATTTTTTGATGGCCGTGGTTGCCGAGAATTTTCTTGCAAAATGAATGTAACCCTCACCGGTAGGTTTTCCACGTTCATCAACAGACACATGCGCTTTCTCGATTTCGCCAAAGGGAAGGAAAGAATGATACAATAACTCGTTAGTTACGAATTGCGTCAAATTTCTCAATTTAATAGTTGCACTGTTAGGAGCAAATCTGATCTTCAAACTTCTGCCCTTCAGCAATGTTCCATCGAGCTCTCTTTTGGCCTTTTCGGCATTTGCGTGATAGTCCAACTTAATAAAGCCAAAATTCTTATCTTTGTTTAAGAATATTTCGGCAGTCTCGCCATACGACTTGAACATTTCAGTTAAGTCTTCTTCTGTCACCTCGCCTCCAATATTCCCCACATACAATCTGTTTCTGCCATTAAATTTCTTTTCACTCATATCAATTGGAGGCAAATCGAAGGTAGGTCCTTGGAATGAGTTAATTCTCTCAGCAACTTTGTCAATTGGTCCTCTGGGCCTGAAACCACCTTCTCCTTCGCCGCTTTGTTCCTCTTGATTTCCTCCTCGACCCTGATCTGAACGCCCTCCTCGGAAACCACCTCTTCCACGTCCTCTGCCTCCTTTGAAGTCTTGATGGTTCATTTGATCCCTCTCTCCGCCCCCAGGGCCCCTCTGAAACCATACATTAATTTGCCAATTCCTGCAGTTGGAAATTTTTTCACAAAGGCTACGTTTTGCAATAGGACTAAAAGTGCTCGATAAAATATTACCGGAAAAATTATTCTACTATACGATGAGCAAATTTCGAGGCGTTAAACAATAGTTCTCAAGTGGTTTCCTTGCGGATTAGAAAGGTGCTGCAATTAATTTTTTTAATTTCAAACGTATTAAACCGCAGCGACCAGCCAGAAACGACGCACATTTTCGGTTTTGAAAAACAACTATAAGTATGGTATTTAATTAGAAAATTATAATTTATGAAATTGAAATTTCTGGCTGCCTTTCGCTGTGCAAGCTGTGTTTGCAGTTCTCAGAGATTTTTGAGAAGAAACTGGGTCGAACGTTATAGAATCTGTTGGTAAACACATACTGAAAAAAGGACATTGGATATTGAATCGTAATTGGAAGTTTTCGCTCTCAGATTAGACTCATGGCTTTCAACGTGCACAACTAGAAGCAGCATTTAATTGCATTCTCTTACATTTCTAAAACCAAATCCCCGTCCAGGCCCGCTATTAAAGCGATTTGGGCCGCCTCCACCCCGTCTTGGGGGCCCAGCAGGTTCTATATCTCTGCTAGAATTCGAAGTTTCGCCAGGTTCTTTCTCAACAATCGGAGTTGCTTTGGGAGCTTCGGCCTGCTGTTCAGCCATATTTAGAATTAATTAAAATTTAATGTACGTTATCACAGCCAGCGCTCAAACGTCCCTACACCAAGTACTGTATACAAAATGGCGGAACCAACACAATTCTACATTTAAGCGATAAAAGACAAAGATATGGAATAGAATAACCAGAAGGGTCCAGTGTTGCCAGGACTGGCAGCCAAAATGCACCAGACGATTGATTTTAGGCAAAAGCGCAAGACACGAGGTTGTTTATATTTCCAGGCCTGGCAACCGGTGCCTAGAATGAAAATGCGACTTCATTGGCAGAATATTAGCCATTTTTGTATCCGTTTAGTGTTAAGCTTTTATAACCAACTGACATCTTGAAGGAACATTTGTGAAGGATAAAATGACAAATTTAAAACGCTTTCTTGTAGCGATTTTTAGGTTTTTGGTCACGTTGAACGTATACACATTAACACCACAGAAGACAAACCACCGTGTTTAAATGGCGGAAACGCGTACTTACATTTGAATAACCTCCACCTCGACCCATGGGACCAGCGTTGAAACGGCTTCCACCACGACCACGCCGTGGCCCCGTAAAGTTAAGAGACTCCCGTCCATTACTCTTCTGTTCGGGTGTTTCTTGTTTGGCTGGGGGTTGAAGCTTGACTTCAGTTGGTGCTTGCTCGGCCATTTCCAGCAATTAGACCAAGGACGAAAACAATTTTAATCGAATCAGTATTATTTGTTCCAAGCGCACAAACACTCCAGGATATCCACACCTTTACGATCACTTTAAAGTAAAATATAAATGGCGATTGGACCCGTACGCCACGCAAATTACGAAAATTCTACAGCAACGATGAACGCAGCCACGCCGGAAATAGAACGCAACGGTGAAAGGTTCTGCTCAGTGTTGCCAGCAATACTGTACGTACTGTGCTGTGGGGACCTTACTAATTAATGAGATAAAAGCGAAAAATTAACATTATGGTATATTAAATAAGAATTAACGGGAACACATAAATGTACTAGTAATGCTAAAGGTCTGTAATAATTTTGTTTTATTTGCAACGGCCACTGGCGCCTTGAATTAACGGAGAAATCCAACAAACTGGCAACACAGGTGTAGTGTTAACAAGAGTGGCTCATCGCAGTAACGCCTGTCATGGATCCATCATTTGGATTCAACGACACTAACACAAACTAACCTAAAATTTTCAATTTTGTTTATGGACGGGTTGTTTACATATGCCTAGCGTTTATGGCTAGTATATACGTTTTTATTAGTTTTCCCTTTGGAAAGTTACTTAAACAAGGAGAAAATGAAGTCCTGCGTACGCCATTATGAAGTTTATTGGATAAACAGGGATTGTTTAATGCCTTTCACGATTGATTACGTGTAACAACACAAACACTACACTTACATATTTGCTTCTTGTTAAATTGTGAAAAACTTTCTAAAATGTTCAAACTAATTAGTGATGAGCAAAGCAAGACCAAGACTTTCTCTTGACTAAAAGAGCAAGTCTTGGTTTTGATCTTGTTCTTGCATACATAGTCTTGCAAGTCCTGCTTTTATATAAGCCGTAAAATGCAACGGAATTAAGTTAATAATAACAAGAATAATAGTTAGATTAAAAGATAATAATAATCAATACAAATCAATAAAAAAAATATCAGACTATTTGCTGTTTTAACAAGTTTAATTATTTTGTAATTCAAAATTGTTGACCCGTACTTTTGCACTGCCTGTTAAGATCCAGAAGATCTTCATGTAATGTATGTATGTAATGGGAAAATCGCAATTCAAACCCAAACCAGCCAAGTTTTTTTTCAATCTTGTTATGATTTGTGAACGCTGCCTTTGGCATTTACTGAACAAAATTTCGCAGGCCTTTACCGGCATTGTGTTATATCCAGACGTTACTGCTGGTTTCGACGACAAACATAAATAAAATAAAATTTCTTTTTTGTATGTGTCTAATAAATAGTGCTAAAACCTAGTACAGCTTCGCTCTAGTGCGACAATCATTGAGCTGTTAGTATACCATAGAACAACTTATTAGTATACCTTTGGGTTATAATGTGTCTAGTTCTTTTGATTGTAATTCGGTTGATATTTGCTGTTGTTCAGCCTCTGCTATTCTCTTGTTCAGTAGCACACTTTGAGCCCTAACAAAGTTTTGCATCAGCTTATTGTTGTATGTGATGAATTTTTGGACACAGCCGTCCACACAGGTTGTTTCTTCAGCATCCAGTTTTCTTACATGTATATTCACAACACACCTTTGGAAGCACATTTCAGTCATTTCATTGTAGAGTTGCAAAAAGTCTTTAAACTGCAAATAAAATAGCTTATTGTTCCTGTTTAATATAGCAAATTATCTACTCACGTTTCTTACTGCTCCGGGGTCCATTTTCCTTGGTTAGAAAGGCTGCTAACCTCTACCTACAGTTGTTCAACACAGGTCCAGATCTTATCTCTGAGAGCACTGTCAAAGAGTAGTAAAAGGTGGAGACCAGACAAAATAAATAAAATTAGACAAAAATGAGCCACTTATTTAAAGGGCACATATCTTTTTTGACCATCTTTATCCATTTCGCCACAGAACATCCCCCCTGGGAATATTTTGTGCATTTCGCTGTCAGTAAAATAATAGGTTGGAATTCACTTTGATGACACTGACAGTTTCTTGATTTGTAGCAGTTTTTGTTGGTGTTTAGACAACTGAGTAGCTTTTTGCAGATAAAATAAGCAAGTAACAGTTAACTTGCTTTCAAATACTATAAACCAGTAACTCGTCTGTAAAGGCTTTCAAGAATGTCACAAAACTCTCAGATAAGAAATTCAAACTCAGTACCTGGCGAAAAAACGAGTATACATGACATGCTAAAGGATACACCGGCCCAAGAAAGCAAAAACAACCATCCAACACACTCGGGAGTTACGGCTTATTCTCGCTCAATACCCAACACTTTGTCCAACAGCAGTAGCTCGCCAGCCATTCTTACTCCCTCATCGCCTACTCAAAGCAATGAAGCCACGATTCTGAAAACATCTTCCCGAATTGAGAACCTCAAGAATTGGTCTATATCCACTTATAAATGCACAAAGCAACTGATGTTCGAGAAACTGGGAAAAACGGCCAGAACGCACGATGCAGGTAATGTTTTCACTAAAATGCCCCGTAGACGTCCCCAAAACTTGAATTGTTTTAGAACTTGAGACTCAGATCGATCAGCTGCGTGAAACTCAAAAGAAATATATAAATATCTTGCGTTTAGCCAGAGCGCTAACAAGTCACTTCTATCATGTGGTCCAAACCCAGCACGCCTTGGGGGAAGCCTTCTCAGATCTTGCTCAAAAGTCTCCTGAGTTGCAAGAAGAATTTCTGTATAATTCTGAGACTCAACGAAATTTAACAAAAAATGGCGAAACACTTCTAGGTGCTTTAAATTTTTTCACTTCATCAGTGAACACTCTGTGTCATAAAACGATTGAAGACACTTTACAAAGTATTAGACAGTATGAAGCTGCTAGGATCGAATACGATGCCTATCGTACAGATCTGGAATCACTTTCAACTAAACCTGAGGGAACTATTGGCTTAGAGGAGGCACAGCAAGGCTACGAACTGCATAGGCAGAACTTTATGAAGCTGAGAGGCGAAGTTGCCATTAAAATGAAATTCCTAGATGAAAATAGAGTAAGTCTTTGGATAGTTAAAGTGCTTATATTACTCAGCTTTTATGTTATTTCCAGATTAAAGTAATGCACAAGCAACTGCTTCTATTTCACAATGCTATATCGGCATATTTCTCTGGAAACCAACAGGCGTTGGAGGCTACATTAAAACAGTTTAATATTAAGGTGAAGGCACCCAATTCAGCTTACCCTTCTTGGTTAGAACAATAGCTTATGTCTGATGGTTTTTCAATGATTTTTAGTCACAAAAAATGCCTTTATTCATTTTGACTAATATACCAGTATTGTTCAGTTATGCAAGAATCTCAACTATTGATAAAGTTTTTTTTACTTTGGATCTTAACCATGATGTATGTAGTTAGATAGGTACTTATTTGCTGTGATTATTAATTTTTTTGACTTTTTCCTTCAAGTTTTTTGCATTTAGTAAGAACCAAGGTTGAAATTTGGTGCATTTATCTAGTCATTCATTTTACCAGGTAAAACCATTTTCCATAGAGTACTTTCATGTTTGCAGATTTAAAAAGATTATTGTTCCGAAACAGCAAATCATAGATTTATTATTTGTTTGATCTGACAATTTATTAAATTATATATTTATATTATTTAATCTATGCAGGACTATTTAATGTGTGTGATGTGCAAGTTATAGACAATATTATATAAACCAACCAAAAGAATTATTTATTTCCTTTTACAACTAAAAGCATATTGATCAGCTAATGTAATAATCATTAAGGGACTAGGCAGTATTTAATCATCAACACAAAACATCAACGCATTCCTGCAGATCAGTTCAGTCCAGTCCCGGGACTAATTCAAATTGCCTGCTTCAAGCTTTAATTTAATGCATTGCCATATTAGAATATAAGATGTACATCGTATTTAGGTACTAAGAATTTTTCTAATACTTTCAGTTTAATTACTCGAATTACTTACTGTTATAGTTTTGTGCTAAAATAGTATTCATTGTCATGTTTTATAACATTTTTGTTATTTATATTTTATCAAGCGTTTTTATTTTTGAATATAATAATTTCAGTTAGATGACTTCGTTTTAATCATTTACCCTCCATAGAAACATTCGTCTGGATATTGTTGTTTAGAGCTAATAAATTATATAACTCCATTATTTACTACCTCTACATGCGGTGAGTATTTGCGGTTTTTAGTAGTTAAGTAACAGATGGCAAAAAAGTAAGTAGAATATTTTATTTAGAACATAGAACATAAATACACGAAGCACTATCGACTAACAACTATGTGTTTTAAATACATCCACCAATATCGGCACTAAATATATACTTGCTATACGCTATACGAATATTAATAATAGAACTATTAAGACAATTTATAGGAACACATTTCACAAAAGCTTTTGACCCATATTTTGGCCCCAGTCTTAAAATTATGTGTTCAAAACAAGGGCAATTTTAATGCCACCTTCATATACAGGGTGTTCCGTAAGCACATTCTTTGCATCAAAAGAAGACGATCTGACCTAACTTTTATTAATAAAATATGTCTGGCTTCTCTGCTATTGATGGTCAAAGTTCTTCAAAAAAATTATGTTTTTTGAAATATCGGGAGAATGATAAGACGCATTTTAGTGAAACTCGCTGTTAATTTGTTCTTATGTAAGACTCATATTTTGATGAAACATTCGAGTTCTACCGTTTTGGACAAGTGGTGAATTTTTTTGTGTCGTGGTACAAAAACTACCAGAACTTTTAATTTGGTGGATGGAATCATCTAATTCTTTTGCACGATATTTCAAGAAAGATAATTTTTTTGAAGGATTTTGAGCATCAATAGCAGAGGAACCAGACATTTTTTGTTAATAAAAGTTTTGATCCAAAGAATATCGCACTACCCTTTTGATCATGTGCTTACGGGACCCCTGTATTTCAGATAAATTTCTAATACAGCTTCCAAAAATTCTGTAGACGTTTTTGGTGTGTGAACATGGGTGATAAAAAACCCTCAAAATCGCACAATGTGTGTTCGTATTTCATGAGAATCACCCTGTATATAAGTATGAGATGTTCAAACTTTTCAACTACGTTAGTAAAGCTTTTCTAGGGTGGGATATGAAACCATCTGAGTTTCGTAAATATCTGGAAAACACCAAGATAATGTAGTAAGTAGAAGACTTAGGTACATGTAGAAAACGAACGAACGAGAGAGAAATATCTTATCAAAATCGTTAGGTTTGTGCGGCCATTGCTTTTTGGAATTTTAGCTGTGGAAAAGAATGTCTTCCTGCCGCTTCACAGAAATAATTATTTTCCCATTCACGAGTAGTCTAATCGCATCTAGTTGTCATTTTTCTTATAAGAAACCAGAGAGAATGAAGCTGTAAATTGATTGAAAGTCTCAGTTTTGCAACATTTATCGCGCTGCCCAGCACTTATAATAGACGGCTAGAAAATCAGCTGCTTGAAAATATTCGGGCAGAAGGATATTTACTGCAACCTGAGCCCCTAAAATAGTTAGTCCCAAAATCACAATAGACAGTAAATAGCATTTTAAATATGTAGGTATATAGATACTTCAAACACCTGGAAATGTTACAACAATGAGGCTGGAATAAATTACAAAGGCACATTTACATAACTAACATGTAGATACTCCTATCATACGTAATATACAGGGTGTCCCACCGGGAACCGCCGCGATCGATATATGGCAAATTGTAATTAGCAGAAATTTGAAAATTGGACACTGTGCCGAGGTCAGCGGCCAAAAATATTTTAAATGGACCATCCTATATATTATTATATTTTTGTTATTATAATTTCAAATGTATAAAAAACGGTTAGACTTAGGTATAGGATATTGTACATGAAATGTATTTAGAATTTTGAGTAGAATCCAAAAATTTATAATATCTATATAAATAATATATAGGATGTTCCATTTAAAATAAGCAAGTTGATACTTACTTCCGGTATAACCGGAAGTGTGGCCATCTTGAAAATATTTTAGACCGCATTTCTCCTAATTACAGTTTGCTATATATTGATCGCGGCGGGTTCCTGTATATCCGTACACCCTGTATATGTACATTTTTGAATTTTGGAATAATGAATCAATGAATGTGCATTTTATAAATGATATAAAGAGTAAACTAAATTATACTTGTTCCTACTAGTATCGGTAAGACATTTACACATGCATTTAGAATATATTTCAGACATTAATGTAGTCACTTTAATATATATGTTACTGGTTTTTTAAAAAATCATTCAGATTTTGAAGCTAAATGCATATTATCTATACACATCTGAATCATGATTGGCTTTTTTAAATTATTGTTGAGGTTTGTGTATCACCATTATTTTTACGGGATATCAAACAATTAGCAGATTTTTTAAAAAATATCCGTGGAAGCTAGTTAACAAGCTGACATGAAATGAACATTTAACATGGTAAAACTTTGATTCTATAGATTGCAATAATCGTACATAAATGAATACACTCAGATAATGAGCCTTATTTATAAACGTTTAGGTAAACATTTAGTAAATAGAAGATACATGTATACTTTTAAAATTTATAAAGCGTAAGTTTTGACTATAATATATGTTTAATAAAATAGAGTAAATTTTTAAACAACGATATAGAAAATGACAAGTTATCTGGATCGTAATATTTATCATATATTAATCACACCTACAGTAAAAATACATGTTTAATTTATATTTACTTTAAGAGCTTTTGCAGTCGTTTTTATGTAAGTATGTTGATTAGTTCCGATCAGTGGCCAGGGCCACTTGAAAAAATGTCCAATTGTAAAGTGGAGTAAAAAAAATTAATTCGTTCATGGCAATAAATTTTTCGTTGTTCAAACATTAATACCGATTTTCAATGTCGGTTTTTGTTGGTCATCGACCAATCAGCAATATAGATAGATACTAATAATGTAACCGATCACTCGGGCAAATCCCGACAAATTTTCATCGGCCTTTAGTAAAGTTCCCCTGTAATCTCAGAATCAACAATTGTATAAAGTTTTGAACACAAAACCTCTATGCTTGGAGTTAGGTGGTTTCGTTATTTCTTTTTTCAATGCTTGGCCCATCGGATTCGGGCGAAGAAATCTCATATCTGCTGATCATTTCCGTCAGATCCGTGTTGTTATCATCCACAGAGCTCCCGAAACAGTATTTGCATCGCATTTTTGCGTCATCATCAACTCTGACTGACTGCATCATGGTACAGAGGGTGACAAAAGATACCACAAATAGAACTAATGGTATGCTTGCAGATATAATTAAGTGTCTTTTGGTGCTCGCCAAGTCGAAGCGAGCGATGACCATAAAGGAATTGTTCTGCAAAATGGTTAAAGTTGTTTTTCAGTTAGCGCGCAAGTTACCTTATTATCTTACCTTATTGTAGAAACATGGATATCTACTCGAAGCCGTTTTGTTTTTCCCGTCCCGACCATGAGAAAGTAAAAAATTGTAACATTCCCCCCTTAAGGTGTTAACACAGCCGTCTAAGTTAATGTAAAGTCTGGAATGGTTGTATATGGTTAACGATGCTTGGGATGGCACGAATTCATTCCGAGGGTCCACAACTCCGATGTGTTTTCCCGTTAAGTTCCAAAACTGTCTGAAGGTAGAGAAAGGCTGGGGCAGGATTTTCCTTTCAAATAGAGTGCCGTTGATACAATCTGTTGCGCTGAAATGGATCGATAACATACTGCTTGGGAATGGCGCAACAAATTACGCTACTTACAGGATCGTCTGGTTGTCGTGATCATATTCAACATCGAAACAAGACACCATCATAATTTTTCCGGGTTCCTCCTTCCAAAATTGCGTTGGTTCAATAGCTTCTCCATCAACCTTACCATTAGCTTTGGTCGAAGCCACTGCGAACTCGCATTGGGCTTGATGAATGCTATCGTCCACGTGGATAAATACGTTTTTGTCCTTAGTGGTAACATTATCTTTACAAATTCTATCACAACTAAACAGTTTTTTAATTTTTGTGCATTTGGAGCCTTTGCACTCAAAGAAACCATTAAGTTTAGCATTATCCTTGTCGCTGTCTACTGTAAATCCATCAGCCTTGTAATGGCAATCTTGGAAATCGTAAATTTGAGACAGGTTTGAGCAATGACCGAGAGAGCAGTTGAAGACGCCTTTCAGTACCGCGCATTCGGTACCGTTGTTGCAGTTGTACCTCTTTAGCGACTTCCAATTTATCGGTGGACATACCGACGTACTGAAAGCAATACAGTTAGTGAAAGTAACTATCGTGCCATTGTGTCTAGCGGTGGCATGGATTTGAGGGCAAAATCCAGAGGTTCTGGTAAGGCACCATTCTCCACAGGATGCCCAGCTACAGTTGTTTATCATGCTCGTATTAATAGTTTGGCACATAACTGGTATTTCTTGAAAACCACTCTTGAAAGCCTTGATGGCTGGTGTATAAATAGCTACGGATAAATAAATAAGGGAGACACAACTTAGAACTAGCACTAACTGGCAGAAACAAATGCACCCGCATATTCTCTTATCCTGCTGAGGAATTATACGCGGTTTGCATTTATGTCTTCTCCCCATTTTAACAATGAAAAGTTATTAGAAAGGCACAAATGTTAGAATATGGTTTGTTTTTCACATTTTGGATCAATCGTTCGCCGTGCGTCGACCGACTGATGGAAATCGACGGAAAATTGCTCTAACGCAAGCGCTTCATCAAGGGAAATCGCGGAAAGCCCTATAAACACTTATTGAGATTGTCCGGTCGCCATTGTACATGATGGACAATACAAACTTAATTAAGTTCTCCAAAAGTACGCGGACCAACTAACGAGATCCAGGTGGAGCTTAAACTCGATGCGAGTGAAAAACCATGCATCAATCTAGCAAAATATCGCCCATGAAATTAAAAGTTGATTTTTGAACCGTTTTTAGATAAGGGGTTGTTCAGATTTACACCCTATTGACAAAGGGAAAACTGGCGCCAAGCAGACCGCCGACCTTTCAGCTAATCGGCTCAATGCCGCCTACAAAGATTTTTTCGATTTTCAATAAAATTTTCGTATTAATTTAGAAAAAAATCAAGATATCCCTCCATAATTTAGATTATTATTATTTTCACACTAATGGGTTTTTCGCAAGCGCGAGTAGCTTGCATCTTCAGCAGTGGTTTGCTTGAGCGCTAACACTGTTCAGATGGCAGCATCAGACGGCCTAAAAACCCGAAAAACCCATTAGTTTCAAGGCATGGCCTCCAAAGTCTATCTCTTTTGATAGTTTTTCACAATTTGATAACTTTAATCTGCGTCTTTTGTGGAGGTTTTCACAAAAACAAGTTTGGCTTTACACCATTTTAAGGCAATTGGGGACAATCAAATGATTCCAATACTAGAGAAAAAAGGCTTTATTTGGGCGAACTTTAAAACTTTTAACAATATATCCTATTTACAAATATTTTTATAATACGCGCTTCTTATCAAATATCTAGATTTCAAGAGGTACTTTTCAATCTAAGACCGCTTAGAAAGTCGCAAATCCTTTGATTTCAACGAAAGCGCATTCAAAGTTTAAGCGACATTGTGATTAATCTTGAGAGCTTTAGTCCAATTGAAAATGTTGTTAAACTACATACAACGACTAGATAAGCCTGGTATTTGCCAATAACAATTTAACTTCCCTGAAATTCACATATGATGCATTTCAATGCAAATAACTGAAATTAGGTGGAGCATTTGATGCTGAATGGAGTATCGCTAGATGGTTTGATTTTGAGCATAATAGAAAAACAACGCAAAATGCTGGTCCAATAAACCCAATACTCCATTCACCGCCAATTACTGCACATGTTGTACTTTATACCTAAAAATAGAAAATTTATATGTACTTAAATATTGCTATGTTAAGTGATATTTATTTGATTTTACGTATCTGCATGTAGGAAATCTACAACTGTTGTACTGATCCGTGGATAAACCTTTCCAAGCATTACTACCAAAGATACATTTCAAGTAGTAGTCTATATCAAAACAAATTGATTATTATGGGTTTGGACAAAAAATCACTACTTCTGCTTGCAACACTGCTAGATTTTCTAGTAGAATAAATCTTTGCAGAATTGTAGCAGCTTTAAGTACCACGCTAACAGTTGTGCTTAACTTATAAACAGTATTATTGCTTGAACACTATTACAGCAATTTTCAACTTGGGGGTGGTTTTGGGATTTATTTTATAGAAATAAATAAAAACTGTGCTCCGTCGTGTGTGCCTTATATCTTGATGAAAAGCTAGAGGTGATTAGAATGGAGACCAAGCAAATAGTCTTGAAGGAAGCACAGTTTTATTTTT